AATATTACTAAGTTTTTTTTTCAATAAGAAACAATACAATACAAGGATGAACATGTTTGGGGTTTTTTTCAAATCATTAATAAGGTTTGAAACACTATTTCAAAAGATGATATTGCATTAGAGTATCATGAAGATGGTAGTTTTTTTCACTTTGAAATAATGAATGAATCATAGTTAGACCATCATTAGAAACCTGGAAGCAATAAGCCGCCGTTTGGTCCTGGTACAGCGAATCATCAGCGGTGGGCATCTAAGACTCTTGGTACTCGCAAATTCCGTAGATTGGTCAGAATTAGGCATTAACACCGTTGAATGCTGGCTCATTGGTTCAGAGGTTAAGCGTCCGTGCGCATGACCGAAGGTCCTGCGTTCGAAACCTGTGAGTAGAATGAATATTGGATGCACATTGCTGATGAGTCTTATACCATGATGGTTTATACTCAGTCAATTAACTTTATGATAACATGTACATTAGATCGAGTCTTTTATACTGGTGATCCCAATGATAATATAATTAGTATCATACTCAATCATTATTCCCTATTGCTTTTAATATTCCTTCGAAAGTTGGCTTTCATTCATCATTTACAACCCATAATGTTTTTAAAATCAAAATTATTACAAAGTTTTATATGCTTATTGTTAGTACGCTTGAAACTATTACGGGACAATGAACCAGCGTCCAGGTAGGCTACCTTGATCCGAGCGGCTAATTAGAAGTCTTGATATAGCGTAGAAAGTATATTTTACAAAAACCCAGCAAGCACAATGCAATGAAGCACACGAATCTCATTTATTTATACATCATTAAAACGTCCTTGGGACAGTCAAGAAAAATAGCACACTAAAATGCACAGCAGCCAATCACAGCCAAGGATTTTCCTGGTGGGAAATGAAATCTCAAGGTCAGCCCATGCTCGCAAACGTGAAATCCAAAATAGGGCATTTATCAAGCGAGTTCTGGGGATCTAATGTCCCCAACACTTATAACACTTCAAATGGATAAATATCGTCATACAAGGATTAATTCAATTGAAAACTGATAAGAAGTGTTGTAATTGGATAAAATATGTGTGAGAAATAATTCCGGGATATTCAAATGATCATACAAATATCATAATTAACTGATAATGCAGTGAAGTAATTGGCTTTAAATTTATTGCAATTAACTAACTATAACATAAGTTGAAATCGGTCATTCAGTCAGAAGTACATAAATCCTCTATCGATTGAAGAGTTCAGTCTGTCAACTTGATATTCTCTGTCAGAAAAATGTTTTACAATAAGGACTACTCAAACACTTTGGATCCTATTGACCTGAAACATGTTTTTGGGGATATGCACTTGCACTCGAAAGGTAGGGTGTTCTTTTTGTTCTCCCAATGTCATTTCTTTTTGAGGGTAACATGAAAAATTTTTGTATGTTCAATTGGAGAGAGGTAACATGAAAAGGATACTTATTTTTAATTAATAGTCAAGTAAATAATAATAGGCTAGACATGTGATATATAAGCGAGTAAGCATGTACACACACACACACAATCAAATCATACAATAATCGATACTGTGTAAGTAATCGAATAATTTAAACAACAGATCATCAAGTAAAGTACAAGGATGAATGAATGGTGAGATGTTACAATCTATGCGTCATCGATTGGTGGTGTAGAGAATAGATTGTGTTATGCAGATTATTGATCTTGACTACATGAAAAGTTTTGGATAGTGTGATTTTTAATCTTCTGTTTATTGTCAACTTTGAATTGAAGTTGAATAAAACAAAAAACAGGTTTCTTGTTTGTAGGCGTTTCGTCTTTACTATTCTTATATTTTTCAATAAATTCAATCGGGTACCCTTTATTCCTCGGACATTCCTTGCCGTTCATTAATTCTGTTTCTAATGTAACCTTTCCATTTTGGTGAAACAGTGTATTGATAAGTGTCTTTTAGTAGCTGATTGGACAAAATCTGTTACAATTCAGACAAACATCATTTCGTAGTGAAGGAGAGCACAGGTGGGGCAACCGAATTGTATTTAACGAAAATTACAGAGTTACTCAGTAAAATCGGAAAACCATATCGTAAATCGTTCATTTGCAAAATATCAGTTCATCATATCGAACTGGACTGTTCCTGTTGCAAAACATCAATCCATTGTCTGACATTTCACTGTTCATGCGTTTCATACAAATTCCATTGTGTTCTAACTCTTCCTTTCTTGATGTTCCCCCATCTTCTGCTGCCAGACATTACGTTGACACTCACGTCATATACTACTTATAAGTAGCTCGCACCACAATTGCACATGTCTTTTCGGTGAATGGGAACATTGAACTGTACCACTGAGAAAGTGAAGCTCATCATCCCTTTCTTGTTCCATGATAAACTGACTATTTTTATGAGGCGATTATTTAATACATAATAGTATTGTCGACATATCTTATATGATACTCCATTTCATCGGTGCTCCTTTAATCTTAATCTTTCAAGGTGTGTTAAGTAGGTCTGCTAGGACAGGACTAAGTACACTTCTGATTATCGCGCCATCAGTTTGATGGTATTTGTTGTTATTCAGTTGAAACTGGACATCTTTCGTGCACATAATTAGTAGTCTGTTGAGTTTTTCTTATGGCAGAGTTCGAAGGTCAGATTGTTCGCAAATTATGTCTACGGTTCAGGAAGCGGAATTTTAGTAAACAAAGATATCATATTTTTTTTATGTGATCGAACTGAAAAGACTAATTGATGGAGAATTGGTCCTAACTTCATAGTGAGGTGAATTAACCATTGAAAAAAATGCTTAAGTGGGACTACCCGTTAATGAAACTTTGATAAGGTTAGTTTATAATTAGTACTGTAGGTCAAGTATTCACGCGCAAGACAGAAAGCCCTGGATCCTATTCCTTCGAGCGGGGGTCGTGGGCGCACACTGCTGATGAGTCCCATGCTAAGACGAAATGGCCATCCGGTTCTTGAAGGTTTCTAATAATGGCTCAACATTGGTCGATTCATGATTTCAGTCAAACTCATCAATCTCCACAACTTCATAATGACATCCCTCAGTTGGCCATACATTGATGGTCAATGCGATCCAGGAGGTCTTAGACTCTCTATAGAGAGAAATAATGATATTAATTTTCTCCCTTAATACGTTTTTTATTCGTGTTTCTTTTGAATTAGCAAATTCTTATTACATATATCAGATTTGAATCTCAGATTTTCTTTTAGAAGAATGGACTTCATTTCAGTAGTATAATCGGATTTGTTGATTGATGCATCAGTAGAACCTTTATCTGATGATCGTATTCTGGTCAATACGTGACGTTTAGTCATGCATTCACGTGATCGATGAAATTTACACGCACTTTGATTTTAAAAATTATTATTCTGTTCACTTGCCTGTTCCTGTTTTGTTATGTTTATTCTCTAATGTCATTTAAAATGACTCTGATATATGTCGTCCTCTATGGTATACTTGACATCTTCATTCATCTTCCAAAAAATCTCATTTTTAAATTATGTTCTGTGCCTTGGATACGCATAAATTTCATTGATTAATACAGAAATCTTTTAGTTATGGTAAACTGATAGGTAAATATTACAGTAAAGGTGAAATTTCTTTTCTATGTGACGTCAAATTAATGGTCTCCTGATCTTCTACATATTATTGGTTAGCCAGCATGCCCGCTGCACATGCACGCCGCTGAGTTTTAAGCAACACAAGGATTCTCACACGAGACAATATTGCGATCACCCCTGTCCCATACGGGAACGCACATCTTGTCTAGATTGGTCTGCAGACAAGTGGACGTCCATAAAGCACGCGCACGAGCAGTGGCCCCGTTCGGGCACTTATGAATCAACACGATCCCTCCAACTAATGCGCTACGCACAATCGCCAATCGGCAAGGGTGGCAAGGCGAGCTTTCCCAGCTAGACCTGGTGCTCCGAACGGATTTTCGAGCCACTCAGCAGTGCACTAACCAGCAGCCATTCCAACCGTCTGGCCTCCAACTGCCCTGCGCTGATACAATCGATCGGAGCCCTCAGACCTCGTACGAAGCTAAAGATCGAGTTTGTCCCACAAGGTCAGCCGGAATGTACACCCTCCCACTCTCCTGATCTTCTACATACTTATACACTGAGGAGGAATGTTCGGTTACTTTGCACGCATGAATACGCGTTTACTTGTAACGAAAATAAGTTTTCGATTGAATTTTATAGTAGATGAGACAAATTCTATATATATTACTGATCATTATCGAGTTATGGAGATTCTTGTTTCTTACTGATATGTGAATCAATCATTACTGATGAGTAGTCGTCCCATACCAGGACGAAACCACCGGCCAGTGCTTCCAACTTTCTAATGGTTGTCTAACAATGAATGATTCATGATTTCTGTGTGTAATAATCATGCTGTTCATAACTTTAATGAATCAAGTTACGATTGTTTAATGACAGTATGAATTGTAAAATTGCACAATGCTTTAGTCAGCTGAAAGCTGACATGTCATCAAGTATTAAGTTTTGACATTTGTACGTATAATCATCATAAGTCGAGTTTCATTTGTCAAATCGTGATTAGCCAATGCTCAATTAAAAAAAACCATGATGAATTGTATAATTGCATTCATCGAATACTGAACACCCACGCATATTCTGTCTATGTATGTGTGTGTGTGGTTGCGTACGAATGTGTCCAATTAGTATTAACTAATTATAACCAAATAAGGAAACACACACATACAACAGAGACAATAATGTTAGTACTACTAATAATAGTAACATTTTTCATATGATTTAATGAATAGGTCATTCGTGTTACAGACAAATTATTTAATCAAATCGTGTCAAATTTTACGCCATGCACATAATAATCTTATGAACGTTATCACATTTGCACAGACATGCACACGCACACGCACACACACACAGTGAAGAAGCATAAAAGTTCATGTTGAAAAGTGTATATAAACACAGTCGATGTTACTTCATACATGATAACTACAATTGTGAATGACTTTTGCATGATGAATATGCTGTTCAGATTAATTCTTTTTGCCTTCATTATACAAATCCATCATATCGTTGATATCAATGCAACTGGTTTCATGAATAATGAACCTGAAACTGTTGATGTAACATCACAACCAGATTCAACTGATGCGATTCATGACGACAATGTAACACCGTCATTATCAGAATTATCATCATCGTTGATTTCTAGTGCGGCTGATACTTTAGAAAATCACACGAATACTGCAGAGACAAATTCGTCTACAATACATCCAAATGTTACCTATGTGATTTTGCCAACTGAATTTTATTTGGGTCAAACAAATTTAATCACTGTAAGAAGTCGTGAACCAATGACAAAATTACGAATTTCAATGAATGTCACTGAATTACCAACCACAATTGAAGATCATAATCAAGTGTATCATTTACAACAATTGAACACAACTGAATCTTGGTATGGTTTAGATATTCCATATGAAATACCATTTTTATTTACACATACTGATTCTCTATGGGTGAAATTAATATTTAATTTTACGCATTGTTTCACCAATGGTAACGAGTCATGCACTGAATTTAAAACCACTGAAGTGATCAATTCCATTGAATTAAATCAACCGCCAATTATAATTCTCGGTGAAACGGATAAACCAATTTATAGACCAGGTGAAAATGTACGTTTTCGTTTTTTAACATTAAACTTAAATAGTTTATCACCGAAATCAAGTAATCTTCCATTACCAGAGAAAAAATTACTCATACAAAAAGGTCATAAAGGTCATTTAGTTGAAATGAATCATTTTGAACAAATTAAATGGCATAATATAATTTATGATCAAATTATTATTACTGATCCAATGGATAATACTGTGAAACAATGGTTCAATCTGTCACCTCAACAAGTTATTAATTTGAATTACCCATTATTGAATAATGCCAAAGAAGGTAAATGGCGATTACGTGCTATCGTTAGAAATCATTTCAAAGAGAATATTGAATTTACAGTGAAAAAGTATAGTTTGCCAAAATTCATTGTTTCATTAACAGCACCAAGCGCTGTTAATTTTGAATCACAGTATGTTCAATATTCTGTATGTGCAAAATACACTAATGGGCCACCATTGAAAGGCAATGCACAAACCATCTTATGTGTTTGTAATGATTATATTTGGGAGAATCAATTTCATCAATTAGATGATGAACAGACAGTGGACTCGATTTTAACTACACCTCAATGTCCATTCGATGGGTATGAGACAAAAACTCGTCCATGTATTATCACCAGTCAACCATTAGAAATGGATGGTTGTGCACAATTCAATGTATCCACTGAGAAATTCGCTTTCTCTACGAATAAATATTTTAAATGGAATCAAATTAGTATTTTATGCACACAAGTAGAAGAAGATGCAACTGGTTCCAAATTGTACAATTGTTTAAAAGGTGATCAAATTGAAATGAAACAGACAAATTTAAAATTAGACTTACCAAGTGTGTATAAATCGAAATTACCAATTAATGGTAAAGTGAAATTGGCCAATTTTGATAAGACTAAGAATTATAGTGTGAAGATTTCTGTATCCGATCAAAAATGGGGTTGTTATTGGCGTGATACCGGAGAGGTGGGTGTTGAACATTATTTAAACATCATATCAATTAATTCAACCGGTGAAGCTATCGTACATATACCGCCAATCACATCACAACATCCAGTATCAATTCAAGCGGAATTATTACAATTGTCAAGCAGTTCATCCATCAATTCATCATTATCGAATGATGTCAATTCAATTAATGCAGACTCACCTAATTTCTTTTATTGGCCATATACACCATTGATACAGGATAAGAAAATTATTGACAATGTAGTTTTAAGATCATGGGATTCAGTGAGTCAGTTGTATTTACAATTATGGCCACCTAAAGATAAAATAGTGACAACATGCCCAAATTTAATTAAATTAACATTGTTATCCAATACACGTTTATCAAATAAAGCTATTTTTATCGAGTCAGTAGTTAGAGGTAAACATTTGAAAATTGTTCTGCCAGCAATCGATAAAATATCATCATCCGATGGTTTGGTCAATGATGACAATTGTATTGATCGAGACGATGAATTAGGTCATTACAAGTGTGTCAGTTGGAATTCAACCGAAATCGAATGTTTACCTGGTTGGAGTGGTGAGAATTGTTTAGTGCCAGTTTGTGCTTTAGAATGTAGTAAAAAAGGTGGATTCTGTTCAAAACCAAATCAATGTCAATGTAAAAACGGCTGGACCGGAGCTACTTGTGACCAATGTGTTAAACGTGACAATTGTTTACATGGTAAATGTTTACTTGGTGATGATTGTGTTTGTGATCCTGGCTGGGCTGGTTATTTATGTGATTCTAAAAAGGTGATTTATGAAAAATTTGAAGATATCATTGATCCAAATAGTACAAAGAGTGTAGATCAAGAAACCACTGGCCAAGATTTAGATAAACGTCATGCAACTACACCCACACCTTCAAACTATACAAAACCAATTCGTACACTTTATCAACGAAATATAGAATTTGAAATTGATGGTTCATGGGGACCGAAATTCACCGCTGTTCTTTATATTCATGATCAACATGAAGAAACGACACCTGAGATTGTGTCAACACAAATTATCGTTGAACAAATTGGCAATTGTTCCAGTGATGCTATTGCACTGGAATCGAAATCGAAGAGTACTAATTTGAAATTTAGTCAGAGTATAGCAGATCCTGGTGAAGCAATTCAAATGACTATTACGCCACAAGGTGTGGAAAAACCAAAGTATAACTGTCATACGAACTCAGCAAAACCTGTTCATAGCGATCAGAACAGCAGAGGTCAGTTATTGAATGAATTATGCTTTGTTCGAATCTCTGACACATCGTTGGACAATTTTCAAGGTGATAAAAATTTAGTCAATTTGAAATATTTCACTGATAAATTAATTGATTATTCTATGCTAAATGGATTTCGACCATTAGTGGCTAGTTCAACACAAGAAGCATTTTTAGCTGCTGGTTTTCAACTTGGTTCAACTTATCCAGAACCGATTTTTGCTAATCGTATCTATCCATGTCCTTATTTAGCGTTTTCAAATGCTGTTGTGATGGATAGTGATGGTGGTGTCCCACCTAGAGCGCCATTACCGGTAGCCCCACGATATAAAAGTTTCCGCAATACAATGAAACCACGATTAAGAGACTTTTTCCCTGAAGTATGGTTATTCGATGTTATACCGCTTAGTGACGATACACCAGCACAGATTAACAACGCTGACAATTGTAATGAAAATGAGATTAAGAATATTGAATCAGATGGAATGAACAAATTAAGAAGCATTGCATTGAATCTCACTGTACCAGATACTATTACAACTTGGAGAGCATCAGCCTATTGTACAACAAAACAAAATGGTCTATGGATTGGTCAACCACAAATGTTAACTGTAACTATGCCATTCTATGCTGAGATCACATTACCGAAAGAAATGAAACGTGGTGAAATTGTACACATTCCTGTAAGTGTATTTATCTTAGATAGGAAATATTTACATCAATCGAATGATAATTCGGATGTGACAAACGAATGCTATGAAATTTCTGTTCAAATTGAAGTAGACCACAATGAATGGTTAATCACTACATCAAATGTATTCGGTGGATGTTTATGTTCTGGTGAGAAAAGAACTTATCTAGTCGGTTTATTACCACAAAAATTAGGTCAATTAAATGTGACTGTTGAATCATATGCTATAAGAAATAATGAATTTTGTCGTCAAATCATGCCAACAGATAATGACAATCAACATACATTGGTATTTAAATCACTTAAAACAAAAGATAAAACTATGCAACCGAAATTATTATCTGATAAACTTCGTCGTCAAATCAACGTTATACCTGAAGGTATTCAACGTGAAACAACTCTTAGTGATATTATTTGTTTAAATGAACAACAAATTAAATCAACGCGTCAATTTGAATTTACTGTGCCTGAACATATTGTCAAAGATTCATTGCATAGTTATATATCATATAGTGATGAAGTATTAGGACCGGCATTAGTGAATTTAGACAGTCTTGTACGTTTACCAACTGGTTGTGGTGAACAAAATATGATATTAGTTGCACCAAATGTCTATATATTAGATTATTTAACATCTACACCAAATAATAATAGAGAAGGCGATTTAAATGACAAGAAAGAAAAGTATATCCAATCAGCACGATCGAACATTCTAGCAGGTTATCGTCAACAAATGAAATATCGTCGTGAGGATGGATCATTTTCTGCATTCGGTAAATATGACAAACAAGGTAGTACATGGTTGACTGCATTTGTAATACGTGTATTCGCCAAGGCTTATCAATTACAACCTGATTCAAGTATTGATTGGAGCAGTTTATTCCATGGTGGTATAGATTTTCTATTAAAGCATCAAAATCATGAAAATCATGGATGCTTTGAAGAATCCGGTAAAGTGTTATATTCTCCATTACAAGGAATTAATCATGCAGATGCATCAGAATGGAAGAGTATTCTACTTACAAGTTATGTTAATCTAGCATTATATCAAACACAAATGAAATTCTTGAAAAAATCTGATGAAGTTTTAGTCGGTAGTGGTGATGATGATAATTTACCAGCTAATAATTATACTATTCAATTAGACAAATCATTTGATGCTGCTTTTAAATGTTTAAACAATAAATTGTTGAGTCTTGATTCATTTGAAAAAATACCTACACCAGTGCTGGTTCAATTAAGTTATACTTATACAATCATGAAACCACATGGTAAATGGACTGTGAAACTTCAAAATGAAACAATCAATAGAAAACAAGTCAGCACTGATCAATTTGGTACGAAAATATTTTGGTCCGGTAATGATTATGCAACTCATAACAACAACAACAACAGCACAACCGGAAATTCTGATTCTATCATCACGGAAGATTGGAGAAGTAGGGAACCACGTGATTTAGAGTCAACAGCTTATACATTTTTAATGTTAAATCAAATCAATCAGTCAGTTAGTGATTTATTCCCAATTATTCGATGGATTAGTGCACAACAAAAATCGAATGGAGGTTTCTATTCCACACAAGATACAATACTTGGATTGGAAGCTATAGCTGTATTTGCTAAAAGATTAGGTCTATCAAAAACTGTGAATTCCAATTCTACATCGTCGTCATCAAATGTGTTATTTATTTCAAACACAATGAATTTGAATAATTTCAAACTGAATGATGAAATAACTCCGGAAAAAAGACAAGTTATTAATCAAATTGAATTGGAGCCATCTCATCTAAACCAGAATGAAAAACTAATCTCTTCTACTTGGGAATTGAACAGTAATCAAACACAGACAGATTGTATTTTAGTACAAAATACATTTATATACAATTTACCTGAGAAGAAAGATATGAATAAAAAGATTAAATTATCATTTGATGTGATTCAACAGAACAAATTATCCAATGTCAATTGTAAATCAGCTACATTGTCAATGTGTTTACAATTGAACAATATGAAAAATGTAACTACCATAAATACTGGAATGTTGTTGGTACGTGTTAGTATGGTTACCGGTTGGGAACCAGCAATAGACGAGTTGAATTCACAACTGGGCTCAGAAGATGACTCGTTAAAAAAAGTTACCATTAATGATCAAAATGAAGTTTCATTATATTTTGATGAATTCTCTGAAAATGAAGTCAACAAATTCAATGGTGATTGGACAAAATTAAAACGATGCGTCAATGTCCCATTAAAACAAACACATTATGTACAGAATGCTAAAACCGCCACAATCACAGCATTAGAATATTATACTCCAGATGAAAGTGTTACAGTCAGTTATCAATTAGATGAATGCAAACAAGAATGGATTATACCTTCTACAAATGAATCATCAACGCAAGAGGTCACAGAAACTATCACGACTACTGAGAGCATTTTATCAAATGTCACAACTGCTTCACCAATGAAAACACTTTGTCCAATATGCATAGATCAAGTGAATGATATAAAACAACTTACTGACGAAGTATTTACATCAGTATGTAATTATTCCGATGGTATATTCTTGATAAAAGTTATCGGATTGGATAATGGTATTTTAAATGTTACACTAATTCAAATATCACCATCTCATTATGTAACCAGTTGGAATACAACCATATTAATACCTAATTTCACTCAATGTCCATGTCCACTACTTCAAACACACAATAACTTGGTATTATTTTTCAATAAAAGTACATTGTTCTACCCTGGTGATCCTCAACTTAACTTGAACACAGTGGATACAAAGGTGACAATTGTATCCAGCGAGGAAGTGTTACCTAGTTTGAAATTAGCCCATAAAAAATGGACCAATATGTCATCTGCAGATTCTGATGATAATTTCTATCATTTTGATTTATTTAGTTATAATTGTAAACGATTATCAATGTTCATTAAATACATTGAAGCGAAATTTCTTATTTGAAACATTGTACTATTTATTATTGAAAGGGTGATTAATTTTTAAAGATTTTTCCTTCTTTCGTCTTTTTTACAAAACTGACTTTTTACATTTGTGTTTGTATGTGTGTGTGTATGCGTCTGTATGTCTGTGCATTGTGATTTTAATAATAAACTTTATATTTAATCGATGATTTGTTCAAAGTTAAATATTAATTAGAGAATTATCTCTTTTTTTGTTTTGTTTAAATTATTAAATCTTATTTAAATGATTAATTACCATTCGATTTGTTAAAGTGTTCATCTTATGACCAAAGCATTTTGGGTTATTTCATGGACAACACAAGTGTGTGTGTGTAATTTTCGTCGAAGATTTTATTTGAAGTGTATGTATTGACTGTATAATCAATCGCCTGACATGAACCTGTCAGTTTTAGGTCAGTTAGGAGAGTAGTATGAGAAGCATAAATTATGATAAAAGTTTATGGAGAACATTCCTCCCCAAATAGACTACACTTTACCACTAAATTAATTCAAAAAATAATTGATAGCAAAGAAAGATACAAGTTTAGTGAAGGAGAACACAGGTGAGGGCAACCGAATTGAATTTATTTCAAATTACAGAGTTAATTGTTAAAATAGGAAAACCATATCGTAAATCGTTCATTTGCAAAATATCAATCCATCATATCGAAATGGACTGTTCCTGTTGCAAAACCTCAGTCCATTGTCTGTCATTTCACTGTTCATGCGTTTCATACAAATTCCATTGTGTTCCCACTCTTCATTTCTTGATCTTCCCCCATCTTCTGCTGCCAGACGTTACGTTCTTACTCGCGTCATATACTACTTATAAGTAGCGCGCACCACACAAACTACTCTGATGAAACTATAGAAGAATATGTTATCTACTTGTTTAAACATTTATGCACCACACAAATTGCTGAATTTGTGACGCCTAAACCGAAGCAGTTGGTTGTCTTAGGGAGGGGAGCCTTTGACCCGAAAATCTAATTCATAAAGGAACTGCAGTAAAGTCAGTCAGTCAGTCAGTTGCAACCTAGAACTTCGTACGCATGTACATAAGTTCAGGTTGCCATACCACATGAGCACAGAGACGCAAATGTCAAATCAAATCCCATAGTGTTAAAGATAGTAGAGGTATTAATGGTAATGAAGAAGACTGGGGTTCGAAGATATTATTCAAGAAGTATAATTCAGTGAGATAAGGTTAGAAAGACAAAGGTAGAGGAGCTGACGATTCCAGAAGATTAGGATTTGAGAGAGCTCAAAGAATGGATGCACCTGCGCCATTGCAAACGATTTTGAGCCATGTCGTTCAAGTTCTCTAACCATTGGTGAATTTCGTCTCGCGGATCCCAACCAGGTAGTCTACATCTACCAACATGACTCAGTCCACTAGTCAGTGACTTCATGGATTTGTGCCATGTTTTGGTCTAGCCGCCCCTAGCTTTCTTCCAATCTACTCCTACACTGCAAAACATAGCTCGTCGAGACAGTCGGTTGTTAGGCATACGCAGCACATGTCCCAACCACATCAACTGATGAAGTTTCACTACTTCATCTATTGATCTGCCATCCTTACCTCGTACTCGTTTCCTAACGACAGCATTATTTACTCGGCTATCCCACGATATACGAGCAATGCTTCTTAAATACCTATGATCGAAAACCAATAACCTACGAACATCTTCTACTCTTAACGGCCATGTTTCACAGCCATATAGGAGAACGGAGCGAACTGCTGCGCAGTACACCCGTTCTTTGGTTAAAGTCAGAAGATGTATCATACCATTGGTTTGAAATCAAGGTTTTCCAACTTCTCCAGATTAACCAAACAACCCGGTTAAACAGTTGAACATTCGCTTCTTGTTCTCTTGATTTCGTAAACAGTACCCCAATGACGAGAAGTTGGTGAATAAGATATCCTCCCTATCAGTGGCTATATCTGCGTGGTCAAATGAGAGAGCATTTCAATAGGAAGAGCGAACTGACCTCACTTTCATCCATATCACAGCATTTGGAATCGATGTGTCATACACGCTCACTTCTATTGAATATTATAAGATTCATGAAATTTATTAGGTTGAATCTTTTCATAAAATATTCTTAACAAGTTTGATTTTAAGTTATATATATTTATGCATAGATGATCATGTTAGTAGGCATGAATGTTGTATAAAGTGATGATAATGATCTCAATCTTTTGAGAAATAAAATAAAAAAAATAACCTCAACAGTTTTGCACAATTTCATGGATTAACTATTAAGGTCGCGTTAACGATCAATTTGGATAAAGAGAGAAAATGACATGATAAGAGTGAAAATATGTGAAAGATTAGAAAATACATGAAAAATATGAAGACAGTGGATGAAAAGTAATTAAAATAATACCAAGATAAAGTATCAATGATTGATTGACTGTGTGTGTGTGTGAAAAGCCTTGTATTAGAGTCATGATATGATGACAGCTTAATGCGACGCTTTTGCCCACATAGTTCAAGTTTGAAATGAACTGCTGCGACCTGCGCAAGAATATCATTAGTAAGATGGTCAGGACGTTCACACGTTCACACAACCACCGACTACCTCGATGCGCGATGATGGCTGATGTAGGAGAGGTTGGAAGGGAGCTAGAGGAGGCCAAATCAAGACTAGGCTAACTAATATGAAAAACTGTTTGAATGTTTTTGCTTGTCAAACGTAAATAAAAGTATGTTTCTAACTAGAATAACTAGTAATTTCGTAGTGAACGAGAACACAGGTGGGGCAACCGAATTGTATTTAACGAAAATTATAGAGTTACTCAGTAAAATCGGAAAACCATATCGTAAATCGTTAATTTGCAAAATATCAGTTCATCATATCGAACTGGACTGTTCCTGTTGCAAAACATCAACAATCCATTGTCACTATTCATGCGTTTCATACGAATTCCACTGTGTTCTAACTCTTCCTTTCTTGATGTTCCCCCATCTTCTGCTGCCAGACATTACGTTGACATTCACGTCATATACTACTTATAAGTAGCTCGCAGCACGATTTGAATTCTATAGGCAATATTTAATAATATAAATATTAATAATAATAATAGTTGCATAAGATCAACTTAGCTTGTTCCATCTGTTCATTTAATTAACATTAAAGAAAACCTAGTCATTTGACTCTCATTGTTATCATAGAAGTCAGAATAAAGTTCTTTAACTTTCGCTGAAGTGCACAAAGACAATGTTTTCGGGCAAATGCACACCTAGTTCAAGTTTTAAATGAACTGCTACCACCTCTGCAAGAAAATCATTTGTAAGATTGTTAGGATGTGTCACGTTCTCACAACCACCAACTACCTCGATGCGCGATGATGGTTGATGTAAGAGAGGTTGGAAGGGAGCTAGAGGAAGCCAAACCAAGACTAGGCTAACTAATATGAAAAACTGTTCAAATGTTTTTGCTGGTCAAGCGTAAATCAAAGCATGATTTTAACTAGAATAAATTATAATCTGACTTATATAGGCACAAAGACAATGTTTTCGGGCATATGTGTGGTAAAGAATGCCAATTATGACTTTTGGGTTTTAAAAGAGGGCATTTTTTAAGTATTTGACTTTTACTCAAGTAAAATTCCCGAAACACTTCTTAATCATTTTGCAAAACACTACTCGAAATAGACTATCGTGTATCTGCTGAAACCGACACACCAGATAACATGACTAAGGTTAAGCATTCGCGCTCATGACCGAAGGTCCTCGGTTCGATTCCTGCCAACAAGGTTCGTGGATGCGCACTGCTGATGAGTCTTATATCCCAGGACGAAACGGCCATTCAGTGCTTCCAGGTTTCTAATGATGGTCTAACAATGATCCATTCATGATGTCAATGTACAACAAAACTATAATGCCATACTAACACACTATTTTACCATATTCGAAGAGTAGACTCTTCACTGTAAGTTTAGAAAAATATGTTTTTGATTATCTGGTAAGGTCAATGGACAGAGGGTAAGCCAAACATATTTCACACCATTGAAAATAGTTTCTTCCTTTCAGTCATTAATTTCATTATTATTCGCCTTGTCGATAATCGATTGATGTCAGAACACCGTCATGATTTGAGACTCATCAGCAGATGATTTGAAAAAAGTATATGTTGAAAGTAAACTTTTTACTGTGCGTTTAGAAAAATACGTTTTTTAAATGATAGTAAAGCAGAGGAACAGAGGATAATTCACAGATATTTTACACTATTGAAAATATTATTCTCCCTTTTAATGATCACTTTTATTAAGATGTGGCCCTTTTAAATGGATACACTATGTCGTTCAGTTGCAGATTTTTTAAAAGTACAAAACATCTTAGAAACCATTCTTTATATCAGGTAACAGCTGATATTAGAAATATTCGTAAATATACTGAAGCTGTAAGAATAAATCGTGGTCTAAAATGTTCACTGATGATAAGTAGACATCTTCACCGAGATCATAAGAATGCAGTTTAGATTAGGGAGTTATTTACGAGTGTACTAAGCATTCAGATGTCACAAATATATGTATACCAGACCAAATAACTGCTTGTTTCCCATGCTTTTCAAGGTCATTAAATATCTCAAGGACAGTGTTCATTTAATGGTCTAACCAGATTCACAGAATCCCAGACAGACAGATACAACGCAGAACTTCGTACGTACGTACATCAGTTCAGGTTGCCATGCCCTATCAGTACAGAGACGCAACTCTCAGTTCAAATCCAAGAGTGATAGCAATAATATAATAAGTATTAGCAGTAACGGAGAAGATTAGAGAGCGAAGATATGATTCGAGAAGTATAATTCAGAAAGATAAATTTAGAAGGAGAAAGGTAGAGATTATGAGTAATGCAGAAGCTTAGAATTTCATAGGACACAAAGAGTGGATGGACCTGCGCCACTGCAAACGATTCTGAGCCATGTCGTTCAAGGTCTCTAACCATTGGCGACTTTCGTCTCACGGACCCCCACCAGGTAGCCTACATC